TTTTTACAAAATTTTGCTGGAACAACTGGGTTTTTATAGGGAAAACAAAAGGAAGTTTGACATCCACCTCACATCATCTGCAAACATCCGTTCAAGAAGGAGTGCACCCTGAACAGAACCGCTGTGACTATGAAGCTTCTAGAAAAACAGAGATTAGATCACCTGGGCTAGGAAAATCGCATCTGGGGAGTGGATGGGGGATGGAGAATCTCTCTCTCTCTCTGCCTTCAAAGAAATGAAAATAAATAAACTTGAAATGTAGAAATCATAGAGTACTTGCATAAAAATTTAACTGGACTTTATCATAATTCAAAACAAAATTATCTACAACACATGAAGAGCTCATGCTAATCAATAACAAATAATGAAATTAAAAAAAAATAGGTGGGGCTGGTGCTGTGGCTCTGTGGGTTAACGCCCTGGCCTGAAGTGCCAGTATACCATATGGGCGCCGGTTCTAGTCTTGCTGCTCCTCTTCCTATCCAGCTCTCTGCTGTGGCCTGGGAGGGCAGTGGAGGATGGCCCAGGTGCTTGGGCCCCTGCACCCACATGGGAGACCTGGGAGAAGTCCTTGGCTCCTGGCTTTGGATTGGCACAGTTCCCACTGTGGCGGCCATTTGGGGAGTGAGCCATCAGATGGAAGAGCCCTCTCTCTCTCTCTCTCTGCCTTTCCTCTCTCTGTGTAACTCCAACTTTCAAGGAAAATAAATAAATCTTAAAAAAAAAAAATAGGCAGGGGCTGGTGCCATGGCTCACTTGGTTAATCCTCTGCCTGCGGTGCCGGTTCTAGTTCTGGTTGCTCCTCTTCTAGACCAGCTCTCTGATGTGGCCCAGGAAGGCAGTGGAGGATGGCCCAAGTGCTTGGGCCCCGCACCCGCTTAGGAGACTGGGAGGACGCACCTGGCTCCTGGCTTCCACAAACGGCGCAGTTCCAGCTGTAGCGGCCGTTTGGGGAGTGAACCAATGGAAGGAAGACCTTTCTCTCTATCTCTCTCTCTCACTGTCTATAACTCTACCTGTCAAATAAATTTTAAAAAATAGATTTTAAAAAAAGGCAGTAGACCTAAACACTGACTTCACAAAAGACACAAAAACGACCACAGGGCAGGCGTTTGCGTAGTGGTTAAACGCCCACATGCAGTATCACAGTACCTGGGCTCCTGACTGCAGTTTCCTGCTGATGCAGGCCCTGGGAGGCAGTGGTGACGGCTCAGTGATTAAGTTCCTGTCACCCACGTGGGAGACCTGGACTGAGCTCTTGGCTCCTGGCTTTGGCCTGACCTAGCTCCAACGTTGTTGGCACTTGGGCAGTGAGCCAGCAGATACGATCTCTCGCTCGCTGTCTCTCGCTGCCTCTGAAATAAGTAAGTAAATAAACTTTTTACAAATGATCATGGAGTGTATAGCCATATAATCAACATAATCAGACATCAGGAAAGATAAAATTCAGGCAATGAGGAGATGGCTGACACAGACACGCACAACAGGCTCCCAGTGAGCGCTGGCACACAGTGCAGTTGTTGGGATTCTCTGTGCATCGCTGGAGAGGGTGCAGAATTGCACAGCTACTTGGGGGAAAGGCATGGCAGCTCCCTATACAAATAGCCTTAAAACCATTCTATGACCCAACAGTTACTGCACTAAAGGACTTGTACAAAATGTCCTTATTCATGGGAGGCCCGTGTTGGGAAACAAACAAACAAAAACCCAGAAGGATGCATAACCAAATTGTGATATCTTGCTACTAAGCAGGAAAAAGTGAACTATTGATCCAGGAAACAATATGAGTGACTCAATGCGGGTAGAAGCAGCCAGACACAGAAGAGCACATGCCTACGGCTCCACTGACGGGCAGTCCTAGAAGGGACGAAATCAATCACGGGGCAAAGAAATCAGAGCACCAGTTGCTGACAGGGAAGATGCAGGGCTGCCTGAAGGAACTAAAATGGTTTTTATCTCAGCTGGGATGTGGATTGTACTCCCAGGATTCGGCGATCACACTGTGTGGAATTCACAGCAGTGCCCCCTGGGTGTCGGGGCACACGGGTCCAGAGCGCTCAGTGAGGTGACAGCATTTAATGCAGGAGCCGTCACGCAGCCCAGCAATTGTGCTGCCCCCTGTGTGCCCCTCACACCTACAAGTGAGTGGGTAGACTCAAAGCAGCACTGCCCAAAGTGTTCAAGCGGAAATCTCCTGTGCTCACCTCCAGGCCCAACGGCGGTGAGAAAGAAGGAAGTAGAATTCCTACCATGAAAGAACTGAGCGAGAGAAGACAGAAAAACAGGGGCCAGCTCTGTGGTGCAGCAGCCAAGCCACCACCTCAACGCCAGCATCCCCTGTGGGTGCTGCTTTGTGTCCCGGCTGCTCCACTTCTGATCCAGCTCCCTGCTAATGGCCTGGGAAAGCAGTGGAAGATGGCCCAGGTGCTTGGGCCCCTGCGCCCATGGCGGACACCTGGATGAAGCTCCTGGCTCCTGGCTTTGGCCTGACTCAGCCCCAGCTGTTGCGGGGTGGGGTGGTGGTGGTGAACCAGTGGGTAAAGACCTCTCTCTCTCTGGCTTCTCCCTCTCTCTCTCTGGCTTCTCCCTCTCTCTCTGGCTTCTCCCTCTCTCTCTGGCTTCTCCCTCTCTCTGCCACTCTGCCTTTCAAATAAATAAATACAGAAATCCTAAAAAAAAAAAAAAAGAAAGAAAATTACATATTCCAAGAAAGCATTTAAGGAGACCTGGCAAATGTCAAAGCCTAATGCAATACATGCCCCGTGCGTCTCGGCATACGCAGCCGTAGTATGAAAACGACAGCCTGTTGGCAGGACTCAGGCCTGGCTCGGGGGAGGGCAGAGGGAATTCATCAGCAGCTTCGCTGTCTGCTCCAGAGAAGCCCTGCGCTCTCCACTTCCCAGGGAGCGGCTTCACCCCGCAGGAGGCACGCGTCCTCTGGGGCTCTGATTCTACTGAATATACTCAATATACTTTATCTCTGCCCATGAGAAATTCGAGGTAGCCTGCAACAAAAGACACACACATGAGCCACGGGGACATAAATCTAAGAAGGAAACCAGGATCAAAGACAGCAAATATTCCATCAGTACTGGTTAACCACAGTGGCCGTGACCAAGTTTCAGCCGTGGCTCGGAGCTTTTTTGGCAGCCGCGGCGTAAGAGCCAGATACGGAAGCCAACCTGGCTGCTTCCCCGTGGACACCTCGCCTTGGTTCCATTTTGCATTGCTACCTAGCCCGCTTCCCCCTCCCCACCCTCTCTCTTCCCTCCGTCCTTCAGGCTGGAGCCTCCCCAGCCACGCCCCCTCCCCCAAGCACACCTTGTGAAAGGAGCGGGGAGACCAGAGCCTGCCTCTTCCCAGACTGGAGAGGACCAGGGTGCGTGCTTCGGTCGACAGGCAGTGGATGGCAGGTACTCGCGGCCCGAGTATGGACAGATAGAGGTGAACTATCACCTCTTCCCGGAATAAGCCCAATCTCGGCCAAAGAAATAACAGAGGAAAGCCAGGAGGGGATTTGAACACAAGGAAAGACCAACTTAAGATCAACGCAAATTAAAAGGCAAAGAAGCTCCCAGATGTCCCAAGTGTCAGGTTAATCCTCTCCCACGCGAAGAGATGACAAGGACTCCCAGCCCGCCTCACCCTTCTCAGCCCCCAGCTTCCGCGTCCACAGCGGCCTCGCAGCCACAGCCATCTCAAGTTCAGCAGCCATGAGCAGCAGGCGGGACTGGCTCAGGCTTCCCTCCACCGCAGGGGGACGGCGCCGCCATCATTCCCGCTGTCCGAGCCGAAGGCCTCGGGCCACCCTGCCTGCCGCCCTTCACACCCCACATCCCGTCGGTAAAGCATTGCCCGGAGCCAGGCACTTCCTGACATCTCTGCTGCTGTCTCGGTGCCCCGGCGCCCGCCCGCACCACGCAGGACACCTGCCAGCCGGCCCTCCTCCAGCTGACCGTCCACACAGCACTGGTGTCGATCCAGCCAACACGTCCAGAGGTGAATAACCAGAGCACCTGGAGTTTGCCCCTGGAGTCCGGCAGTGGATGCAGCCCTTCTGAGACCCGCGGCTGAGATACCCTGGCGGTGGGGGCGGGGGCGCTTCGCCCCTCCATGCCTCGGCCATGCCTCGGTTCCCAGTGCTGAAGCGGGAATACCGACCACACGGGAATGCACGCAGACCTGCTGCCAGTGACAGGCGCTGCTGGGCACGCCTTTCTGGAGAACCCCAAGCAGAACCCCAGGCCACTCCCACGCAGAGCTAAAGCAACCACGGCTCCCAGCACCCCCAGGGAGGCACACGTTCTTACATCTGCCCTACCTCCCACAAGCCCCCGCCCAAGAATTCTGGGTTTTTCTCAGCATCAGCCTTGAGCTCGGTGGATCTCCGTCCAACACTAGGGAAGACAGAAGCCCCAGGAGAGACGGCCGTTCACCAGGCGGCTGAGGACTGGTCCACGTGTCCACCACAGTGAGGCCACAGGATCACGGAGCAGGGCTCGCAGCTCTTCACGAACAGGCCTCCAAGCTGTACCCAAAGAATGGGGACTGTGTCCAGTGGGCCTGCGTGCCAGGCATTACAGCAGATCTTCCCACGAAACAACCAGCCCTCCCTGGCCGGATGCGGGAGACCCTGCTTGCATCTGGCCGGCTGGCTGGGTCTTCCAGTGGGACCTGGTGCGGTGAGAACGCCCGGCCTTGCTTCTCTGATACTTTTGAGCTACATGGCCACAGGCACGGCTAGCGGGGGGAGGGGGGGGGCGCCCCCACACCGCGGCAACACCGTCCATGTGACGCATTTCACACTCACCCACGCTCCCCTTCAGAGAGAGCCCTCTGTCCCGCCCCACCTGGGGCTCAGCTCCCTATTCTCTGTGCCCAGCATCGTCGCCCAGGAGAGCGGCTACTCCCCCACACAGGTGCCCAGCGGGGACCCCACCCGGCCAGAGAGGAACAGAAACACACAGGGTAAGGCTGACTAGAGTAAGGAGGAAAACACATTTTTCTTAAACTAATGTATTAAGAAGTTTATTCTTCAGTCATAGAAAAGAACATTTTTTTTTTTTTGGCTTTGAAACCAAGACATAAAATGAGAAGACAAGTAAGCGAGAGCCTTGGGGGAAAGTGTGTGGAGGCCTCATGCTGAACCCTCAGGCGCGGCGCAGCCTGGGGCCGGGCACGGCGGGAAGGGGAGGGACGGCGCCAGCGGAGGGCCCAGCCACCCCCTGGCCTGCGAGCCCGGGAAGCCACCCCTCCCTCCCTCCCTCTCCACAGCCCTGCGAGCAGCGGGCAGCAGTGCGTGATGCTAGCGAGCCTGTCTGGTTTGTCGGAGAGCGCAGTGGTTCAGCACGTTGAAGCCGCACGCACAAAGCGCGCCCGGCCGGCCGAGGCCAGCGTCTACTTGGAGCCAGCGATCTGCTGCAGGCAGAGCTTCATGTAGGCGTTCTTGTCGCGGATCTCCATGACCGCGTCCCGCACCAGCTCAATGAACATCTGGGGCCAGAGCTTCTGCAGGGCCTCGTTTTTCATGTTGATTTCCGTGGCTCCCTTCACAAGGTCCTCGACGTACACCTTGCAGAATTTCTTTTTCTCCTTTATTTCCTGTTTTGAAACAAATACACATGTATAAAATTGCATGAAGTCGTAACTAACGCAAACGCCAAAGCAAGAATGGCTGAAAGAGAAACTTGGAGCGCGCAGGGCTGCAGTGACGTGCAGGGTGGGGGGACGCGCAGGGCTTGGGAGACGCACAGGGCTGTGAGGACGCACAGGGCTGGGGGGACGCGCAGGGCTGGGGAGACGCGCAGGGCTAGGGGGACGCGCAGGGCTGGGGGGACGCGCAGGGCTGGGGGGACGCGCAGGGCTGTAAGGATGCGCAGGGCTGTGAGGACGCGCAGGGCTGGGGGGACGCGCAGGGCTGCAGTGACGTGCAGGGTGGGGGGATGCACAGGGCTTGGGAGACGCACAGGGCTGCGAGGACACGCAGGGCTGCGGGGACACGCAGGGCTGCGGGGACGCGCAGGGCTGGGGGGACGCGCAGGGCTGTAAGGACGCGCAGGGCTGGGGGGACGCGCAGGGCTGCGGTGACGTGCAGGGTGGGGGGGATGCACAGGGCTTGGGAGACGCACAGGGCTGCGAGGACACGCAGGGCTGAGGGGACGCGCAGGGCTGGGGGGACGCGCAGGGCTGGGGGGACGCGCAGGGCTGTAAGGACGCGCAGGACTGTGAGGACGCGCAGGGCTGGGGGGACGCGCAGGGCTGGGGGTGACGCGCAGGGCTGGGGGGACGCGCAGGGCTGGGGGCACGCGCAGGGCTGTGAGGATGTGCAGGGCTGCGGGGACGCGCAGGGCTGGGGGGACGCGCAGGGCTGGGGAGACGCGCAGGGCTAGGGGGACGTGCAAGGCTGGGGGACGCGCAGGGCTGGGGAGACGCGCAGGGCTGTGAGGACGCGCAGGGCTGGGGGGACGCGCAGGGCTGGGGGGACGCCGGCCTCCACGGGACAGCTCCTGCTCTGTGGCCACTGCCCCACTTCGGCTGGCTCAGCCCACCCAGGCCCAGCCAGCACAGCCTCCCAGCTTCTGTGCAGAGTCCGTGCAGCACCGGGGACGCCAGGTGCACGCCAGCTGATGAGATGAGTCCGTATCTTGCACACCCACACTCTGAACCTACACTGTTACGGAGACGGAGAGCCTGCGGCAGTTGGGGAACACGTCCGAGAGGCAAGAGAAAGCATCTCCAAGCCGAGACCCAGAGCGTGGGCTTCTAAACAGGGTCCCGCTACACCCCTGGGCCTGGTTCCAAACACACGGACGGGGACGTCCGGGGACCGGACCCCAGCTGCATCACAGGGGCTAAAGCAAAGCCTTTTATTTACTGCAAGAATTTAGTATTTGTCCTGGCTATGGATATTTCGAGTGTGTCAAGGTACAAGCATTGAAGTTGTCATAAAGTACAGGAAAAGCCAGCACAGCAGTGAGATAATCAGCCTTGCGATGCAAATACTCATTCACACGATGCAGGAGGGAGAACAGATGCCAACGCGACAATAGGTGTGATTATTCAGAAAAGGATCCATAACTTTCCAGCTGAAGCCAGAACACTAAAATAATTCCAGCATGAATTACAGATACATTGTCACCAATTTCTTGTCATCAAAACTATGCTCATGAGGACTTGTAATTAAAAAAATGCTTACATTATAAACTTAAATGAAAAAGTTCAAAACTAATATTTTCAAAAATTAATTTTTAGTTATTGAAAAGCAGGGTGGGGAGAGAGAGCTCTTCCAGAGACCCCTGGCTCACTTCACGATGGCTGCGGCAGCTGCGGCTGAGCTGGGCCAAGCTTCGAGGACAGAACTCCACCCCCGCCTCCCAGTGGGTGGCAGGGCCCCAAGTCCTGGAGCCCGCACCGGCTGCTTCAGGGTGTGCATCAGCAGGAAGCAGGATTGGAAGCAGTGCTGGGACTCGCATCCAGCTCTCCAAAATGGGACGTGGACATACCAAGCGGTCGCTTGACGCCTGTGCCGCAATGCACAACCCCAAAATGAAATTCTTACGGGGCTTGGGTTATACTAGTGCATGCGTTTGTCAGAACCTCAGCAATTTTGCACAAAAGACATATTTCAGTATATAAATTTAACCTCTAAGGAAGAAATTAGGGAACAGCAGTGTGGCATGGTAGGTAAAACTGCCACCTGTGATGCTGGCATCCCACATGGGCACCGGTTCAAGTCCCAGCTGCTCCACTTCCCATAGGCTCTCTGCTAATGGCCTGGGAAAGCAGCAACAGATGGCCCAAGCACTTGGGCCCCTGCACCTGCATGGGAGACCCAGAAGCAGCTCCTGGCTCCTGGCTTCCACCTGGCCCAGCCCCGGCTGTTGCGGCCACTTCAGGAGTGAACCAGCAGATGGAAGAGCTCTGTCTGTCTGTCTCTCTCTGTAACTCTGCCTTTCAAATAAATCTTTAACAAGCAAACAAAAAACAAGGGGTGGACTGATGGACAGGCAGGCCCGTGACTGAGAAAGCGCCCTGGGTAATCTGATGGTAACAGGCTTCTCTTTTTTTAAAAGTTTTATTTATCTGAGAGGCAGAGTCCTAGACAGAGAGAGGGAGAGACAGAGAGAGGTCTTCCATCTGCTGATTCACTCCTCAGATGGCCACAATGGCTGTAGCTGGGCCGGTCCAAAGCCAGGAGCCAGGAGCTTCTTCCAGGTCTCCCACGTGGGTGCAGGGCCCAAGGCCTTGGGCATCTTCCCCGCTTCCCCAGGCCACAGCTGTGGAGCAGCCGGGACATGAACAAGGACGCTGGTGCTACAGGCAGAGGCTTGGCCTACAGTGCACAGCGCTGGCCCCAGCATGTAGGTTTTTACTGTAGAATTCTTTCAGCTTTGCTCTATGTTTTTCTCTTCCTCTTTTCTACTTTCCTTCTTGTTCTAAATGTTCAAAATTTTTTAAAGCAACGAAATACCGCTTGCCATTCCGGATCAATTACGTTAGTAATGAGTCCACACACACTCAGCTTCCCAGCAGAGGTGCACTTGGACCCATCTCCGCACAGGGACTCACCGCTGGAGGTCGGCAGGCTCAGCTGATGCTGCCCGTGGCCACAGCACGCGGTCACGTGCTGCTCTGTCATGAAACTGTGTGCAGATGTGGAAGGATGATAACCAGCGAGCGGTTCCAGCTGGCTTCTCTGACGGCCCTGCCTCCCGTGACTCCGGCAGCAGCCCGGGCCTCAGCTACCTGCACTGTCAGTTTGTTGCTGGGAGCAGCACTCAGCCCTCGCTTTAACACTCAGTAACCCAGAGCACAGCAGGGCGCCCAGGGCTGCGCCAGCCACACTCGCAGGGGTGGCACCATCTGGCCTGGGGGCCGCATCTGGCCTGTGAAGTCATTGATTCCGGCCCTGCCAGGGCAACTGCAGGTGGGACTCGAAATTCAATAACCCACAGCAGGCTCACTTCCAGGTTGATAAGTGTGGACGGCTTGTGGCTGACGTTACAAAGATCCGAGCGGCCTTGGCGGGACAAAGTTCCAGGCCGTGCCTCACAGCAAGCAGGTGTCAGACAGCAGAGGGCACAGGACAAGTCCATGGCTGCCTCCCTCAGGGGGCACACAGGCGTGTGAGGGTTGGGAGGTCAGCCCCGTCTAACGCTTCCCTACTGAAAACTCGTCCTTGCAGGACTTGTGGGGGCGGGCTGGAGACCGCCCGCATATAGAAAAGCTAACTGTCCTGACAAAATGGTGCTGAGTGCTAAAGGAAGCGTTCAGACTGCAAGGACGGGGGTGTTCAGCAGGGGCGGCCATACGGGAAGGTACCGGGGTGCACCCTGGGAGCCCACGGCGGGATTAGGCGTGGCGGTGCCTCTCACGTGACCCTGACGCCCTCCTGAGTCTGCAGCTCCCACGACAGGACTCCCCGGGTCCCTAGGCCTCTGAAAGCTGTTCCGGAGGAGTCAGGAGCCCGGACAACGACCAAGCAACAGGGCACAGTGCGTGACGAGGGGTGGCCTGGCCTCCCAGGTCTCTGCGAGGCAGGCTGCAGAGGGGGCAGGGCAGCTCTGTGTGCTGCGGGCACCTGACTGTCTCTCCCGGCTGGGGACGAACGCCGGGCTGGGAGCCAGGTGTCTGAGGGACATGGGCGAGCTCTCAGCTGAGTGGGCGGGAGGGGCTCCAATCAAGGCTCTGACCAGCAGCCTGAGGTCTTTCCAGGACCTTCTTTTCCCTTTGACATTTCCCCAAAGGGAAGCCAACCTTCCCTGTCGTCACTTCTTTATTGCTTATTTATTTATTACTCAAATCCTTTTCATCAAACTCTGCCCATAGACTCCACTGAGGCTATCTCTGGATTAAAAAAAACCATGACCTTGAGGGCCAGCTTTATCATTCTTTCTTTTACAGTCTGTACACTTGGGTGCTAAAGAATCACAAGCTGTCCCATCCAGGTGGTAAAGATTTCCTCTGATTTGTAAAAACAAGAACTTGAAAGTTTTGCTTTTCACACTGGGTTTTTACTGATCTGGAGTTAGTTTCTATTGCACGTGTGAGGGAGCTCAGCACGTTTCTCTGAGCGGACACCCCCTCTCCTCAGCACCACTTGCTGCACTCTGCCCCCGCTAGTCTGTAACCCCGCAGCCTGGGCGAGTTCTGGCTCCCTGTTGTCCCCCGGTCTGTCTGCCCTACACTTTCTAGATCACCCTGGCTTTCTAACAGTGCTTGGGCTCTGGCCAGGCAAGTGCCTCCTAGGTTGACTGTTGGCATCTGAGGTCTTTGCTCTATCAGCTAACTTTTAGGATCAGCTGGTAAAATGCCACAATAGCCCCAGCCAAACCTGAAGCAAAACTGCCTTACAGTTATGAATTAGGTAAAATTGACATCGTTAGAATACAGAAAATTTTGTCTGTGAACATAAACTTTTTACTTACTCTTATTCGATGACTTTTTTTAAAAAAAGATTTATTTTGAAAGTCAGAGTTACAGAGAAGTAGAGGCAGAGAGAGAGAGAGAGAGAGAGAGAGAGAGAGAGAGAGAATCTCCCATCTGCTGGTTCACTTCTCAGATGGCCAGCACTGGGCCGGCCAGGCTGAAGCCAGGAACCAGGAGTTTCAACCAGGACTCCAGTGTGGGTGCAGGGGTTTAAACACTTGGGTCGTCTTCCGCTGCTTTCCCAGGCCATCAGCAGGTATCTGGATCGTAAGCAGAGCAGCTGGGACACTAACTGGTGCCCACGCGGGATGCCAGTGTCACAGGGGGTGGCTTTACCTGCTGGACTTTCAATATAATATCCTGCATAAAGGGCTTGTACCACTTTATCATTCACGCCTACAGTGTTTGTTGTTATGGCAAATGGCATCTTTCTTTAAATTGATCCTCGAATACATAATTCTACTATACTGGATTCTTAACTTTTTTCTTACTAACATCAAGAGATTTCTATAATTTGGAGAATTAGTCGCAAACTATTTTTCCAGCTCGCCATTTGCCTTTGCTTCTTTCATCCCCTGAAGGCCCTTCTGAGCCCAGGGGTCCACGTCGGTTTCGCTGTAAGCTGTAAACCCCTGCGGCACCTGGACGTATGCCGGATGCGTGCAGCTCGTTCTTCTTTCTTCTTGGGTCCTCACTCGTCCGCAGATCACTTGCTGGACAGTCCTCGTGACTTGTCTGAGGCTGCTCGCCACCATTCCGCAGCTTCGCCTGTGTTGGGACACAGGCGTTTTCTGTTCCACTCCAGGGCGCGGTACCTTCACAGCCACCAGCTCTGTCTGGGAGAAGACGCTGTAACGCGTCCCGCCGTCCAGTGGGGCTGCTCCCCTGCTCGCTCTTTTCAGAGTTGTTGTGGCCATTTGTTTACTTTTCCACAGGTACTGCAGGATCATCTTCTTTAAAAAAAACTTCAACAAATTTTGGCATTTTCACTGAGAACATATTAAAATTTTAAATTAACTTAAGGAAAACTGATTTGCTTGCGATCCTTTTTGTGCAAAATAGGTTTTTTTCCATTTGCATAAATATTTAATTTTCCATTGCATAAACTGCAGGCTCCATTAATTTTTTTGTAGACTTTTTTTTAAAGATTTATTTATTTATTTGAAAGACAGAGTTAGAGAGAGAGAAGGAGAGGCAGAGAGAGGTCTTCTATCTGCTGGTTCACTCTCCAAATGACAATAGCCAGAGTTAAGCTGATCCGAAGCCAGGAGCCAGGAGCCTCTTCCAGGTCTCCCATGTAGGTGCAGGGGCCCAAGCACTTGGGTCATCTCCCACTGCCCTCCCAGGCCACAGCAGAGAGCTGGATGGGAAGTGGAGCAGCTGGGACTTGAACTGGTGCCCAGTGGGATGCTGGCACTTTAATCTGCTGCACCACAGCACCGGCCCCTCCATTAATGTTTCAAAGCTTGCCTTCTACAGGGCTGAAAGGTACTGCTGGCTGATCAGGAGGTATTTTATCTGCATACTGGTATGGGAGGGAGGTCTTTCCTGTCATTCTAGTTCCTCTGCTTGTTATCTGTAATACGGCGCTGTTGGTTTCTGCTCCATACTGAATTTTCTTATAGCTTTTATAGTTCTCAATTAATGCTCTTGGGATTTCCCAAAGTCAGTAACACTGCACTCGTACTAGCTCCTCCTTTTCAAGTCACTGCTGACTTCACCTTCTTGTCCAAGTGCACGGTCTCCAGGGGAGTAACAGTGGTGGTGCCAGGCAGCCTTGTTTGGACCCTGCTTCAGGGTTCCACCGCTGTGCAGCAAACGACCTCCGATTCCGCCGTGTGACACAGCACGCCTCTGCCACGCCGCCTCTGTGCCCCCAGGTCGCAGCACGGCTGGGCTGGGAGCCCTGCTCGGGGCCTCCCAGGCTGCCCGGCGCTGGCCCTGCGGCGCTCAGACTCCACTCCGGAGCTCCAGAGGCTGCTGGCCGACGTCAGGTCTGTGTTTGCAGGACAAAAGCCCCCAAGCTGGAGCTAGCTCTCAGCCAGGGGCTGTTAGCTGCTGGCAGCTCCCCGCAGCTCCCTGCCCTGTGCCTCACCAGGCACGGCAGTGGGTTCCTTCAGGCCCACAGGACACTCGTCAGAGAAAGGCGAACCTTTAACGAACCTGCCGGACGGGGTCCAGCTGACCCCGCACAAGCGCGCTTCCCTGCTCTCAGCTAAGGTCGTCTGTAAGGGCCCTTGACTGTATCTGCAAACCCCTTCACCCTCGCCACATGCTGCTGTTAGGGCCAAGCCGCAGGCCCTACACACGCAGGAGAGGTTTCCCAGGGTGAGGACACCACCGGGTGGCAATCATGGTGTTCCCCTGAATCCACCCCCCAGGACTACTTACTGTCTGACCTCGACTTAGCCCACTAACGCAGTAAACAATTAAGAAGGGAGCTGAGGTATGTGAGATCCCTGCTCCATGTTTAGAGAAATAATCACGACTTTTGTGGCTACAGGTGTTAATGCACCACTGCTGAATCTCCCTGGCATTCTTAGAATAAACTGCAGTTGGCTCTAAGGTTTGTTATTCCTTTAAAGTTCTCTATTCTATTTGATACTAGTTTTTAAACACCTTTGCATCAATATTCTGAAGTGTCCGGTCTGGCTTCTTCTGGTCCCAAGGGTCATATGTTACACTGTCTGCCTTGAAATGATGGAAACATTTTCCTGATTTTTCAGTAAATTTAACAATTTAAAAATCGTTAGAATTATCTGTTCCGTAAAGGGCTGGAGGATTTCTCTATGCAACTGTCCTTGTTTTGCATACAGCTCTCTGACACGTTTCCGCATTTCTTCTATGAAACTCAGCCAGCACACTGGATTTCCCACACGTACCCATTCATTCCTTGAACTCAGGACCGTGCTCAGGGACAGGACTCACACTGCTGCAGCGTGGCTTGTAGCTTCCTCTCTTGGCAACAGCAGGACGTCTCTGTTAGCCACAGGATCACACTCACTCTCATCACACAGCCCTCGCTCAGCCCTTGAATCTGCCTTGGTCTCCACACTCACCCACAAGGGCTACCCACAGTCCCTGGCTCTATCTCGCCTGGTTCATGCTTGGAGGCGGCTTGTGTTCATATCATGCTCTGGCCTGGGTTATGCTCAGAGAGGTTTGTGCTCACACTGTGCTCCTGGCCTGGTTATGCTCGGAGGGGCTGTGTTCACACTGCACTCCTGGCCTGGTTTATGCTCGGAGGGGCTGTGTTCACACCGCGCTCCTGGCCTGGGTTATGCTTGGAGGGGCTGTGCTCACACCGCGCTCCTGCCCTGGGTTATCTTCAGAGAGGCTGTGTTCACACCGTGCTCCTGGCCTGGTTTATGCTCGGAGGGTCTGTGTTCACACCGCGCTCTTGCCTGGTTTATGCTCAGAGAGGTTTGTGTTCACACTGCACTCCTGGCCTGGGTTATGCTCGGAGGGGCTGTGTTCACACTGTGTTCTCGCCTGGGTTATGCTCGGAGGGGCTGTGTTCACACCGTGCTCCTGGCCTGGGTTATGCTCGGAGGGGCTGTGTTCACACCGCGCTCCTGGCCTGGTTTATGCTCGGAGGGGCTGTGTTCACACTGTGCTCCTGGCCTGGTTTATGCTTGGAGGGGCTGTGTTCACACCGCGCTCCTGGCCTGGTTTATGCTTGGAGGGGCTGTGTTCACACCGTGCTCTCTGCCACAGTTGCCTTTCTCCCCTCGCCACACAGTTCTGGCCCATCCTTCGTGGCTGATTGCCAGGCAGTCTGTTCTAGAAAGCCTCTGGGTCCGGTTCGCTGGCCCTCCTCTCCTCTCCTGATGCACTGGCGTGCATCTCTGGCACTGGTGTGTGAGAGCCAGGAGAGCCGCCAGTCTGACAAGCGTCCAACAAGGGATTTCTGAGACAAGGTAGCTGACTCCAGGCATTTGAAGAGTTTTCACGGGAAAAGTCTTGTTCTCTGTGCCACAGAGGTGGGATAGGAATTATAAGGGGTGGCTCCCAGGAGGCAGACTCAAGTTCCAAGAGGTTAGGAGCTGTCACACGACAGACAGCTACCCTGTAGCACTGACTTCCTCCTACGAGAACCGCAGGCACCATCTGAACCCTTCAGGATGCTGGAAAGCTTGTGGAGGGCTGAGCGTCCCACTGACTTCCAGGCACCACAGGCGTGGGCAGGGGAGGGAGAGGAGGACACAAGGGCCGCCTCCACTCTGACACAGCAGCTCAGCTGTTCTGCCTTGCTTTGCCACACTGGGTCGCAGCTGCAATATGGCGTGAGGGAGCCAGTGCTGTGGCGTAGCGGGTAAAGCCGCCACCTGCAGCGCCGGCATCCCATATGGGTGCCAGTTCAAGTCCCAGCTGCTCCTCTTCTGATCCAGCGCTCTGCTATGGCCTGGGAAAGCAGTAGAAGGTGGCCCAAGTGCTTGGACCCCTGCACCCAGGTGGGAGACCCGGAGGAAGTGCCTGGCTCCTGGCTTCGGATCAGCGCAGCTCCGCCGTTGCAGACATTTAGGGACTGAACCAGGGTTGGAAGACCTCTCTCTCTGTCTCTCTCCCTTTCTGCCTCTAACTCTACCTTTCAAATAAATAAATAAATAAATCTTTAAAAAATATGGTTTGAGTAGAGACTCCACAGTGGTTAACAGAAAATTTCAAAATGACTTTCCCAGCCATTTCATTTGGAAATTAGGTTCATATAACATATAATCAATTAATCACTATAAATTATAGTTAAGATAATTAATAAGTTATAAAATTACTTAATACACATTAAACTATAAAATCACTAAATTAGGTGTGTGTCTCCTGTGTGAGGATTTATACAGATCTTTCTCTTTACACTCTAGATCTGTGTATTTCACACACACACACACACACATACATCTGTCACCTTGTTCATCTCCATATTTACCAGTCTCTACCTTTGTGAGGGGCCACATGCATCTGTTTCCGTCCCCATGTAGGTAGTTCTCTCCATATAATGCCCTGCACGTAGGTCACAGATGCTCAATAAACGTGTCTGTTCTGTCTTGCTCTTTTGCCTTTTTGTGCCCTCAAATTCTCTAGAAGGGACAGGCGTTGGCCTAGTGACTAAGACGCTGTCTGGCTGTCTGACTCCATCTGGTTCTGGCGATGGAGTGCCTGGGTTGAGTCCTGGTTCTGGGATGCAGTGCCTGGGTTGAGTCCTGGTTCTGGGATGGAGTGCCTGGGTTGAGTCCGGGTTCTGGGATGGAGTGCCTGGGTTGAGTCCTGGTTCTGGGATGGAGTGCCTGGGTTGAGTCCTGGTTCTGGGATGGAGTGCCTGGGTTGAGTCCTGGTTCTGGGATGGAGTGCCTGGGTTGAGTTCTGGTTCTGGCATGGAGTACCTGGGTTGAGTCCTGGTTCTGGGATGGAGTGCCTGGGTTGAGTCCTGGTTCTGGGATGGAGTGCCTGGGTTGAGTCCTGGTTCTGGGATGGAGTGCCTGGGTTGGCGTCCTGGTTCTGGGAAGGAGTGCCTGGGTTGAGTCCTGGTTCTGGGAAGGAGTGCCTGGGTTGAGTCCTGGTTCTGGGAAGGAGTGCCTGGGTTGAGTCCTGGTTCTGGGATGGAGTGCCTGGGTTGAGTCCTGGTCTGGCTCCAGGCTCCAGCTTCCTGCTCATGCAAACCCTGGGAGGCAGCAGTGAAGGCTCGAAGAGCCGGGTCCCTGCCGCTCACACGGGAGACCTGGATGGAGTCCTGGCTCCAGGCTCCAGGCTCCTAAACCACCAGATGGGAGCTCTCTGTCTTTCTCTGCCTCCCTGCCTCCCCCAGCCCCGAAAATGCTCCTAAAGGGTCTTAGTGTCTTGCTGCGATCATGACCAGTTTCCTCAGCTGCCCTCGGAGCACGTCAAGGAGGCCCTGCACACACAGCCCTGCAGCTCCTGAAGCACCACAACACCGTGCTTCTCCAACAAATCCCTGAGCACAGGGGGCGTTTGGGCAGCAGCGGAAGCTGCCACGTGGGTGCCCACATCCCAGACTGGAGAGCCTGTGTGCGCCCTGGCCACTCTGCTTCTGACCCAGCGTCCTGCCTGCGTGCGCCCTGGGAGGCAGGCCCTGGAGCTTCGGTGTGCATTTCTTCTGAACAGTTTTTTCTGCTCAGTGTAAGATTCTGGAACCATGGGTTCTGCTTCTCCTCAGGGCGCTACTTCTTCCGAGTGCCTTGGTGCCTGCTGCCTCCCACTCACACGCAAAGCTAACACTCTGGGATGACCAAGGTTACCTCAGCTCATGGAGAAAGCTACAGTACCCCCGCCCCCGCCCCCCACCCCCGAAGCCAGGACAGGTGGGCAGTGTCCAGGCACTAATTCCAACGGTTAGTGGTGGTTTTACCTCTAGCTTTTCATTATAAAAGTCTCTTGTGGTATAATTTAGTGTCGCACGATTTGTATTTTCTCCTACAAGTCTTTTGCTGTCGTTATTTTCTTCATTGACGATGCCAGGCTTTTTTCCTTTGGTTTCTAGTAGATACCGGAACTGCTTTTTCCTGTAGAGAGACAGCAAAGCGAGTGAGAGACACACTCCTGCAGCTGCTAAGACATGTCTATTTGTGTTGACATTAGAGGGGGCGGGTGTTTCTTGGATGTATCGTACAGTGGCAGCTCATTATTCATTTGATCTCAGATCAGGACTCCAGTCTCTCTACAATTAGGCTAATTAACCCAAATTATTTTCATGTAACTATCCATCATCAATATAAGCATGCCTCAAACATTGCTAAAATGAAAAAAAAATTCTACCTTAATAAAAATCCATGCAGAAAAATATATTACCACAGAGCACAAACAGCTCAATTAAAGATGCAATGGGCCAAACTTCGAGAGTCTTTTTATCCATAACCCATGTTAGGTATCGTTTATAAACTACACAGCTAGTTCACAGTCCTGTTAGGCAGCCCAGCAACATTACTCACAGCCAGAAAATGGAATGGAATACTGGTTTAAGATTAGGTAAAACAGAAACAAACAAAAACCCAGCAACCTCCAACTGTCAGCACATCTCTCTGGTTAAATAATGAAACAGGAAGCCTCGCTGGGTTATGCAGGGTCACAGGGACAGGCTCACAGCAGCACCGACACAGCCAGGAGCCCAGAATCCAGGGACTCTCCCCCTTCTCCGGGAGCTGCCAACGCCCTCAGTGTCGGGGCGTGGCACTACCTGCCACCGCACTCCAAGTGGGAGCTGAACACTGAGGGTGGCGCAGGGGTGATCTTTTTTAAAATGTCTTTTTCATTTCTGATGTACAACCCAATTACCTTAGAACTTCCAGAAAGTATGAAGTTTAGAGCTAAAGAGATAGATCTCAAAATCACCTGTAAATTTGCAGCTTATAAATCTAACACTGCTACACTCAACACATTCCTTACAAAGATTTAGAATTTTCTAAAAAGTTAAGATCATACTAAACATTCAATTTTGTGTGACGTTTTCATTTAATGCTACACAATAGGCATTTCCTACATTACTACATTCATAGCTTTAATAAGTGAATGAAACGCAACTGTGACACAGATCACAATTTACCTGGTTGGGCCCTTTCATTGGATGTTGAGGTGAAAGAAAAAAGCAACATGGAGCTCATCACCTGCATTCACGTTCTTCACTGCTTTTTTTTTTTTTTAACAAAAGCAGCGCCACATATCTTTATTAGCCTTTCCAAATAACCGAGTGTCCATTAATTGTTTAACATCATTTATGTTAATATCCTTCAGATGAATTTTGCTGTTCTTTTCCTAATTTCGTGAGATAAATGCTTAGTGCACGCATTTTCAGCTCTTTATTCGTTCTTAATACACCCAGTTAGAGAGTAACACATTTCCATCAAACACCAGTTAAACAGGAGCCCATATGTTTTGAAATGTCATTCTTAAATTTTATTTCAGTTCAAAGTAGTTTCAAATTTCCATTATAAGATTGTCTTTAACCTACGGGTTATTCAGAAATATGTTCCTTAACTTCCAACTACATGGAGATTTCCTGGATATCATTTTGTAACTGGGGTTAAAGCTTAATGGAATTTTTAACAGGGAACATGACCCAAGCAATTTCAATTCTTTGTAATCTGCTGGCTTTGATTTATGGCCAGTTTCTGATGAATCTCCATAAATATTCCATATGTGTTTGATAAGAATGTGTATTTTGCAGTTGTTGGCAGCAATAGTCTCTAGATGTCACTAGGTCAAATCTGCTACCATATTCATCAAATATTTCAAACGTTTGTTCTATTAATGACTCAGAGATATATTAAAATTTCCCACTTCAATTGTTGCTTTGCAGTTCTGTCAATGTGGGGGTTATAAGTTTTTAGGCTACCCTAATAGGTGGATGCAGATTTAAATTTGCTACATCTTTCTGGCAGACACAATGTACCATCATTTTAATATGATCCTGCTTATTTCTATTATCATCTTCACCCTAAAGTCACCCTAAAGTTCACGAGGGCTCTAAGTTTTTGTTTTGTTAGTAGCCATGTTATCTTTTTCCACTATTTAACTTTTCAAACTTTACACATACTTATGTTTCTCTTATAAACATAGGAGATACTTATGTTTATAAGAGATACTTACGTATCTCTGTTAGGCAGATACTTATGTATCTCTTATAAACAACATGTAGTTGAACTTCATTTTGCAAATTCAGTTTTTCACCAGAACAATCAGGGTATCCATCACTGAGGAGGCTGACTGTGCGAAGGCTGTGTTATGGCTTCCTTGAAATGGGCCTTTTACAAGGTGCTTCTGCAGCTAGGCGAAGCCTGATTCGGGCCCTGGGATGCTGTCTGCTGCCCTGTGACTTGCTTTCACCAACAGAGTGTTCTCGGCACAGAGCAAGCGGAGGCACGTTTCCGCAATGGGAGAGAGCACATGGAGCACAGACAAGTCCTCCCAGCTCAGGCCTTGCAGGGCCAGGCTGCAGCCGGCCAGCCTCCCAACACGTGAGAGCAGACAGGGAGGTCAAGCAGAGCTGCCCGCCCAATCCACAGAGGACGTGATGCCAGAGGACCTCAGCTGGGGCAGAAAACCCGCAGAGCAACTGTGGACTCACAGGACACAGCAATGCTCCTGATTTAAGCCACGGAGCGTGGGGTCTTTTCACACAGTAACAGCAGAGGGATGCAAGCCTAACTGCTGTTGTGCTGGGGAGGTTAAATCTACCATTCTGCTTCTTTCTACTTAATCCACAGGCTCTAGGCTGCTTTCCCTCCCTCTCCTCCCTACTCCCAACAACTCTGGAAGCTATACATTCCTTTATATTTTGGTTACATAGAAACTATAACATGAACTCTTTTTCTTAAAAAAAAAAAAAGAAGAAAAATCTATCTTTTTTGAAGGCGTACACAGAGAGAGGGAGAGACAGGGATAAAGAGATCTATCCACTGGTTCACTCCCCAAATAGCGTTGCAATGGCCAGGCCTGGACCAGGCCAAAGTCAGGAGCTATGAGCTTCTGCTGGTTCTCCTATGTGGGTGCAGGGGCCCAAGCACTTGGGCCATCTTTGGCTGCTTTCCCAGGGACATTAGCAGGAGGTGGATTGGAAGTAGAGGAGCTGGGACACAAACTGGTGCCAACATGAGATGTCGGCATCGCAGGTGGTGGCTTAACCTGCTGCACCACAGTGCGGGCCCCAGTGGGAACTCGTAATTCACTGATAATTATACTGATTCTCTTTGCTTTGTGTTAACTGTATTTATCTCCATCCTAGACATGACAAGTCCATTTACTCCTCTTATTACATACATTGCTGTTGTAATGGATCTCAACTCTAATTTAGTCCCTACAAAATATTGCTGGAGCTTTGTACAGTCAAGGTTCATTTAGTTTTTTTAGAAGAGATTTATTCATTATCTATTTGAAAGGCAGAGTTACAGAGAGAGAGACAGAGAGAGAGAAAGGATTCTTCCATCCACTCCCTAAGTGGATGCTCCACTTGGAAGTGGAACAGCCTGGGCTCCCACCAGTGCCCATATGGGTTGTCAGCATCGCAGGTGGCAGCCTTACCCACTATGCCACAGTGCCAGCCCCAAGGTTCACTTGGTCTTATCTAACATACTGAATATTCCCTTGTTCTTTAGCTTTCCTTGCATTTCAAACCTGTCTTGGATCACTGGCCTGCTTCATAGTTTCTTAATTACAAGCTTTATAGCTTACAGTTTAATGCAGACTCTCAGGTTTTGCTTATTATTTCGTGTGAAATGTCCCATATTTCACCTTAATTCAGATTCAGAGAGAGAGAAAGGGAGAGAGAGAGAGAGAGAGAGAGTCAGTCCCCATCGACTGGCTCATCGCCTAAATGCCCACAATGGCCGAGGCTGGACAAGCGCTGAAAGTGGGGACTGAGAACAGTCTGGGTCTCCCCAGATTACTGGAGCCATCACTACTGCTTCCCAGGATCTGTGTGAGTGGGGGCAGGGGTAAGGAGCCAGAGGTGAGTATCAGACCCGGCGCTCCATGCAGGAACCTGGCGTCTCCAACACCAGGCCGAAGGCCCAGCCACATCTTAAACCTTAAAAAACACAGCTGCTGTGTGCAGAGGTCCAGGTTAGGGACTAGTTTCCTTCAGTGCATGGTAGAGCACTCTGCACAAGTACTACAGCACCCAGTACGTGGACAAGTCAGTCACTATGTGGAATACAGCACTCAGAATGGAGTACGTCACCAAGCACATAAAACAGCACCCAGCACACAGAACACAGCTCTCAGTACATGGAACACAGCACTCAGTACATGCAACACAGAACTCAGCACATAGAACACAGCACTCAGTACACAGAACACAGCTCTCAGTACACGGAACACAGCACTCAGAACACAGAACACAGCTCTCAGTACACAGAACACAGCACTCAGCACTCAGAACATAGCACTCAGCACACAGAACACAGCTCTCAGTACACAGAACACAGCTCTCAGTACACAGCACTCAGCACACAGAACACAGTACTCAGTACATGGAACACAGCTCTCAGTACACAGAACACAGCTCTCAGTACACAGCACTCAGCACTCAGTACACAGAACACAGCACTCAGTACACAGAACGCAGCTCTCAGCACACAGAACACAGCACTCTGTACACAGAACACAGCACTCAGTACACATAACACAGCACTCAGCACACAGAACACAGCACTCTGTACACAGCACTCAGCACTCAGTACTCAGAACACAGTACTCAGTACACATAACACAGCACTCAGCACACAGAACACAGCACTCTGTACACAGCACTCAGCACTCTGTACACAGCACTCAGCACTCAGTACACAGAACACAGCACTCAGTACACATAACACAGCACTCAGCACACAGAACACAGCACTCTGTACACAGCACTCAGTACTCAGAACACAGTACTCAGTACATGGAACACAGCACTCAGCACACAAAACACAGCTCTTAGTACACAGAACACAGCACTCAGCACACAGAACACAGCTCTTAGTACAGGTAACACAGCACTCAGCACACGGAACACAGCACTCAGTAC